ATCATCGTCTGAGTCATCATCCGATCCTGTAGTGCACTTCGTATCGAATGGTTTAGCTGAGCCTGGTTGTGCAGTTCCAGGATCATCTGGAATCACAACTGGTTCCACTCCCGGTGCAAGAGTCTCTGATGTTTCTCCAGATTCTGAGTTCTCGAGTATCTCTGGGATGACGGGTGAGTCTTTTTCCACTGACTCAGAGCTATCTGGAATGATGGGTGAGTTTTGCTCCAGCGTGTCAACCTCTGGAGGGTTTGAGATATCAAGTGAACCCTTCTCTGCTGGCTCTGGACTCTCTGACGAGTCCGGGATAGTAGGCACTGCTGGGCCTTTCTCTGCTGGCTCCGAGCTCTCCGGTGAGTCTGGAATAATAGGCAGAGTTGGTCCTTTCTCAGCTGGCTCTGGGCTCTCTGGAGAGTCTGAAACACCAGACATGATTGGACTCTCCTCTATTGGATCGTGAATCATAGGAACAGCTGAATCATCCTGCTCTGCTGCCTCGGGAGGTACATCCAAACCTCCCTCTACTTACTCAAGGCTCTCAGCTGATTCGGGGATCGTGATGGCCACCTCAGCGGGATTCTGTGGATCCTCCGGAATGACCATTGAATCGTGCACTTCTTCCATATCAATTGTTGAGTCAGGCTCCATTGGTGACTCAGATGTGTCCGAAGCCGCTGTCCCACCACTTCCAGATGATTGTGGAACAAGTATTTCATTGAAAACTGAATCCCAAGTAGTTGTATCACCTGTCTCACTATTCACTTCAGACGAAGATATTCCGGAAAGGTCTATCAGCCCAACCACCAACTCACCATCAGTGGAGCTCTCGTTGTCAGAATCATCTGACTCTGCAGAGAGAATTGATTCGATTGTCTCGTTCTCCACATTTCTTTTAAATCTCTCGGTGAATTTCATATTTTGAATGAATTGATGAACTGTAACGATTTCTAAAGTTGAAATTATTTCGTGATCAGACATCACACAAAAGGAGAGCACTATGCACCTTAGCTCGTTGAATCGGAATGTACCGAACAGCAGGTCTGGGGGCTGCTTATAAAGCCCCCCAGATCTCATACGTCAGAGCTTGCTTTGGAATACCCCCCACCACAGTCGCCATTTTGTTTAACCGTCATTTTGTCCAATGGTCATTGCATCATGGATTTGTAGAAATGCTAACCAGACGCTCTGTGGAATGTAATCATTCCACCATAATGGATATTGAATTAATATTATGAAAACGTGACTCTTTCATGTTGGTGTTGCTTGCGCCCTCTGAGATCATTCCATAAGGTGGTACCGATTTCATCGTTATATTTTCCGAGAAAGTCAACGGACAAATGATTCGCGAAAGATCGACAAAGGCTTGCGCTCGCAGGAGGGCATTTACCCTTTGTGTGATGTTTGAAATGTTTTTTCTTCAAATTCCATCTGGAAGACTTCATCACTGTGAATCGTCCAGAATATAACAAAAAATGATTAAATTAATATTATAAAAACGTGACTGTCTCGAG